TGATTCAAATCACCGATGATCCTTGTGCCGGACGGACGGCACCTCCGTGTTCAACACACGTACAGCTCGGTGACGTCTCCTACGCCTTGATCCAGCAAGGGGAGAAGGAGAGGTTGGGGAAGACTCCATCCAGCAGCAGCACGACGGCGTGGTGGTGGTGGAGGAGCGTGGTGCTCCAGCAGGGCTTCGCCAAGCACCGTGAGATATGAGGAGAAAGAGAGGTAGGGCTGCGCCAGGGAGAGGTTAAGAACTCATGTGTGTTGGGCAGCCCAAACCTCAAGTATATATAGGGGGAGGGAAGGGGCTGCGCCCCCACCTAGGGTTCCCTCCCTAGGGGTGGTGGCAGCCCCCAGATCCCATCTGGGTGGCGGCCACAAGGGGGAGAGGGGGAGGCGCACCTGGGGTGGGCCTTAGGGCCCATCTGCCCTAGGGTTTGCCCCCTTCCCTCTTGGAGGCGCCTTGGGCCCTTGTGAGGGGGCGCACCAGCCCACCTGGGGCTGGTCCCCTCCCACACTTGGCCCATGTAGCCCTCCGGGGCTTGTGGCCCCACTTGGTGGACCCCCGGGACCCTCCCGATGGTCCCGGTACGTTACCGATAAACCCCGAAACTTTTCCGGTGACCAAAACAGGACTTCCCATATATAAATCTTTACCTCCGGACCATTCCGGAACTCCTTGTGACGTCCGGGATCTCATACGGGACTCCGAACAACATTCGTCAACCACGTATATCTATTCCCTATAACCCTAGCATCATCGAACCTTAAGTGTGTAGACCCTACGGGTTCGGGAACCATGCAGACATGACCGAGATAACTCTCCGGTCAATAACCAATAGCGGGATCTAGATACCCATGTTGGCTCCCACATGTTCCACGATGATCTCATCAGATGAACCACGATGTCAAGGACTTAATCAATCCCGTATACAATTCCCTTTGTCCAGCGGTATGATACTTGTCCGAGATTCGATCATCGGTATCCCGATACCTTGTTCAATCTCGTTACCGGCAAGTCTCTTTACTCGTTCCGTAACACATCATCCCGTGATCAACTCCTTGATCACATTGTGCACATTATGATGATGTCCTACCGAGTGGGCCCAGAGATACCTCTCCGTTTACACGGAGTGACAAATCCCAGTCTCGATTCATGCCAACCCAACAGACACTTTCGGAGATACCTGTAATGTACCTTTATAGCCACCCAGTTACGTTGTGACGTTTGGCACACCCAAAGCACTCCTACGGTATCCGGGAGTTGCACAATCTCATGGTCTAAGGAAATGATACTTGACATTAGAAAAGCTTTAGCATACGAACTACATGATCTTGTGCTAGGCTTAGGATTGGGTCTTGTCCATCACATCATTCTCCCAATGATGTGATCCCGTTATCAATGACATCCAATGTCCATGGTCAGGAAACCGTAACCATCTATTGATCAACGAGCCAGTCAACTAGAGGCTTACTAGGGACATGGTGTTGTCTATGTATCCACACATGTATTTGAGTTTCCTATCAATACAATTCTAGCATGGATAATAAATGATTATCATGAACAAGGAAATATAATAATAACCAAGTTATTATTGCCTCTAGGGCATATTTCCAACAGGTAATACACATCACTTAAGCCTTGCAAGCATTGCAAATAATGAGTTAGTTGCAGGATGATGTATTACGGAACGAGTAAAGAGACTTGCCGGTAACGAGATTGAACTAGGTATTGAGATACCGACGATCGAATCTCGGGCAAGTAACATACCGATGACAAAGGGAACAACGTATGTTGTTATGCGGTTTGACCGATAAAGATATTCGTAGAATATGTAGGAGCCAGTATGAGCATCCAGGTTCCGCTATTGGTTATTGACCGGAGACGTGTCTCGGTCATGTCTACATAGTTCTCGAACCCGTAGGGTCCGCACGCTTAAGGTTCGATGACGGTTATATTATGAGTTTATGTGTTTTGATGTAACAAAGGTAGTTCGGAGTCCCGGATGTGACACGGACATGACGACGAGTCTCAAAATGGTCGAGACATAAAGATTGATATATTGGATGACTATATTCGGACACCGAAATGGTTCCGGGGGTTATCGGTTATATACCGGAGTACCGGGGGGGTTATCGGAACCCCCTCGGAGGTTATTGGGCCTCATGGGCGCAATTGGTGGAAGAGGAGAGGCGGCCAAGGGGCAGCCGCGCGCCCCTCCCCTCCCAAGTCCGAATTGGACAAGGAAGGGGGGGGGGGCGTCCCCCCTTTCCTTTCTTCCTCTTTCTCCTTCCCTCTCCTCTCCTACTCCAACATGGAAAGGGGGGAGTCCTACTCCCGGTGGGAGTAGGACTCCTCATGGGGCGCGCCAAGGGTGGCCGACCCCCTCCCCCTTCTTCACTCCTTTATATACGGGGAGGGAGGCACCCCCTAGAGACACAACAATTAATCCCTTGGATCTCTTAGCCATGTGCGGTGCCCCCCTCCACCATAATCCACATCGGTCATATCGTAGCAGTGCTTAGGCGAAGCCCTGCGTCGGTAGAACATCATCATCGTCACCACGCCGTCGTGCTGACGGAACTCTTCCTCAAAGCTCGGCTGGATCGGAGTTGGAGGGACGTCATCGAGTTGAACGTGTGCAGAACTCGAAGGTGCCGTGCATTCGGTACTTGATCGGTCGGATCGTGAAGGCGTACGACTACATCAACCACGTTGTGCTAACGCTTCCGCTTTCGGTCTACGAGGGTACGTGGACACACTCTCCCCTCTCGTTGCTATGCATCACCATGATCTTGCGTGTGCGTAGGAAAATTTTGAAATTACTACGTTCCCCAACAATATGTGCTCTCTCTCTCTCTCTCCCCTCCCTCTCCCTCTCCCTCTCTCCTTGATTATGCGAGTTTCCGAGGATGAATGTGATCATGGGTTTTGTCAATAGATTTGAATTATCTGATGCATCCAATCATATTGTGTTTGTGGTGAATTATATCTTGCTGATCCTATGAGTTTCTTTATAGTGGAATAAATATTTTGAGAATCAATGAGATCATGATGCATGTCTAGCATAATTTTTGAAGATACCCATAGTGACATTGGGGTGACTATGGATTAAGTCAGAACAATAAAGATCATGAGTTGTTTGTTTCGTATAATTGTTGGAGCTGCCTATAGTGACGTTAGGGTTGTCCTCTGGATCAATATTAGAAAAACGAACTTAGAGGTATGCCTAGCCAGGAGGTTAGAGGTACGCTATATCATCCCACTTGGATCTAATAAAACAGGATCTAATAATCCATCCCTCAGTTCCACACGTCATCGGGGCGAGAAAGAGGGAGGCGGTAATTGCTAGTTTCGTTTCAGCAAATTGTCCACCTTCCCCCTTCAAAATGTCGATGAGCCCCCCCTTTTTTTGGTATTTGTTGTGCACCTTTTTATTTTCAGGTTCTCACAAGTGAAAATTTGGTGATTATTGCTCGACGCTATCATTTCGCCATAAAAGTGCTTCGCCGCCTATATTTGGGTCGTCACCGGCGCCAAGAAATTAGGGTCCACTCTTTTGTGAGAATAATCATTCATGCCGTGCAAGGGGTCTTTTGTAACAAACTCTTCTCTCTTCTTATCTAATGGAGGAGGCAAATCTTTTGCCTCCGTTTCGAAAAAAAAAAAATCTTTGATGATTTGTTTGAATTTCAGCACTATGCGCCGAATATCGTGTGGGGGTGCGGGCGTGCTGTTCCACGCCATGCAAGTCTACGTCTATGCCTATCACGAAGGAAAGTTTGTAGGTGGAGTATGAGTACTGTGTTGTATTACTCTTTGAGTTTGACTGCTAACCAAAGACGATCCGACGAAGCAGGAAGCGGGATTCGCACGAAATAAGGCATTGACGCACGCCCAAGTAATCTTCACCTGAACTGAGCTCGTAAACTGCCTTCAGCCTTAACTCTCATAAATATTACTGGTTGATGTGTTCTTGTCGTTCTAGAGGAGTCGCCAGAAGGGCGAAAACACATAGACAATGTGCAGCGGTTGCATGGGCGTTCTACGGTTGCCAAGTAATTTCTTTGCTTCAGGAAGACACTCAACCAGACTCAGTTTGTTCTCGGTTCTATACCATTAAACTAACCAAGCCTGGTGCAGGCGGGCTTCCATGCAGGTGGTCAAATGTCAGTTCTTTTATCCGTTTGTTTGGTACGCCCTTACACAATAAACAAAGATAAGATGCCTAATCTTGGATGAGAAGGTAATGTACGTGATCATGTTAACACTGCATGCCAATGGGACGTAGGTTAGAGATTACAAAACTGCACCCACTTGTCCTCCGGCGTCCTCCGGTGATGGCAACTTGTGAGCTGTAATGTAAGTGTGCCGTCCTTTGTCAAGACTGCAATAATAATGTATGCATGCTCCCTGTGATCTGCATGAATCATGCCCACACCAACCAAAGGTTATATGTTCGGAAAACAAGATGAAATTGCACACCTTTTAGTTGTTTGGAGTTTTTTCTTACTAATCTTTGTCAACCGAAGTTATAACCTTGAAACTGTGCAACTTTAGCATAACATTACTGCAATGACTAGTTCATATGATAAATGTGGAGTGAGGTGGGGTAGACAACTTAGCGATAGCCGGTTTTTAGTACATACTCCTTCCGTCCTATAATATAAAATCATTTTGCAAGCTACCGCAGCTAAAGTTAGCGATTATAAACGTCAGGATAAGAGCGACCACTCCACAAAATATGGGGATATGAATCGGCTGATGGCACATGCCATGGCACCTCCCGTCACCAGTGGCATGCCCAGTGATCGCTTCACCTGTGCTAGTTGCTGCACCACGCCACCGCATCCAGGCCCCAAACCCGAGAGCTCATATAAGTAACTCACGCGGTGCCTTACGAAAATAGATCACGTATACTTCGCACCCCACACACCTCGCCCTGCTTCGTCCCTGGCAGAAGCTCCTCTCTGCTTCCCTTCCGCGACTTGGACACAGCAGCAATGAGATCGGTGCTCGGTCTCTCCCATTGGTGTTCCTTGCTGCTTCTCCTCTCGCTGGTGACGGCTTCGCGGGGGCTCGAGGTCGGCGACCTCTTCAGCCATGGGAAACCACCGGCGGTACGTACGTGGGAGATCGAGCGTACGGCTTACTAGCAAATCGATTTGGATTGTTCGTTTGCATGTGGAGCTGATCGATTTCGTCGTGGCCTTGCAGGGGAAGCAGGACTGCAGCCGGACATGCGAGTCCAAGTTTTGCACGGGTAAGCACTTGCCTCAACGCTGATCAGTCTCAGCAATCTGCGGTTTTAGTTCCTGAAAAGAACAAAGCAGTCGATCCCAATCAGATTGAACTGCAAGTTAGATTGTTAGATTGAACTTCATCTTGACTAGCTCTTTTTTAGCCAGACGGCAGCATTGCCGCGCAGAAGTAGCTAGGATAGGATAGCAGATTTCCTGTTATTTTTCAGTTGAATAATGGGCTGGACTGAAGTAACTGACGCTCGCTTGCCCTTGGTTTCCGGCACGCCACCGGCCGGCGTCCCTCCGGAAGTCCCGCCTGTGCTGAGGTACGGGAAATACTGCGGAATCCTCTACAGCGGCTGCCCCGGCGAGAAGCCCTGCGACGCCCTGGACGCCTGCTGCATGGTCCACGACCACTGCGTCGCCGCCAACAACAGTACGATATCTTCTCCCAGCTCCACACATTCTTCTTCTATCTATCTATCTGAACCGAAAAGATCGGGCAGGAGGAAAACACGTACAGTTTCCCTTTTGTTTGCTTCGTTTGACATCTCCACCAAAAGGCCCCACAGACACAGAGCTCTCGGCCTCATGCCAGTTGTTTACGAGATGACACGCCACCTATAGCAAGCAGATCGTATCCCCAGTGGCACCGGCATGCATGATTAGGAATGATTAGATTAACAAGTGCATGGGCAGATGGCTCCCTCATTGGCCCAACACGCTCCAGATAAGCCGCATGCAGTTCGTATCAGCACACGCTCCTCCAAATAAGTACGCATTTCGTATGGAGATAAGCCGATGCGTGCGACGCTACCGACACGTACGCCGCTGCGCCACTAGCTCGTCAACGTCGCCGGCCCTGTCGCCCCCATTTCGACCGCGGCAGCGTCACGCATGATTGCAGGGAAGAAAACGCCGCCGTCGCACTCACCCGGCCGCGCGCACTGTCCTGCCACTGTGTCTGAATGATTTGTGGTGCACTCACTCCGTGTGTCGTGTGTGCAGATGACTACCTGAACACCGGGTGCAACGAGAACCTGCTGGGCTGCCTCGACGGGGTGAACCCGGCGGGGCCGACGTTCCCGGGGAACAAGTGCGGCGTCGGCGAGACGGCGTTCGTCATAAAGGGCGTCATCGAGGCGGCCGTGCTCGCGGGGAAGATCCTTCACAAGCGCGACATCGGGCAGTAGTAACCATCATCGGGCAGTACTTAGGAAATAATGTGGTAGGCGTGGCGTGGCGCGGTGGTGCTGCAATCGGGCACTACTGTGCTTTGGACCAGTTTGGTGATATGTACGGTGCGCGGCATATTGCTGGACCGCAGACTGGTGCGAAATGGCATGCATGGGTTGCAACATTGTTTCTGTAGTCAAAGGACATACTGTAGTCAAAGGATATTCCTGTTGTCCTGTGTCCAGTAGACCAGTATTTCCTTCGTTTCTAGAAGTACTGCTTTGCCACACCGTTCTTTAGTCATGAGTTCAAAGGGATTTCTATTTATATATGCGTGTTTTAAAAAAACGGAGGCAAATATTTTAGCTCATCCACTAATTAAGGGGATTTCTATTTACTCGTTAGTTCTCCCCCAACCAACTAACACCCCTCACTTTTTCTCTTCACCACTCGGCCCACACTCAAGTCTGCCCATAACGGAGCGTTTCCGTCAGGTCAATGTAGTTGACCGTTACGTGGCGCATATGTTGAAACGTGGACATCCAAGACCCATTTGTCAGTGTATAGTATATTAGTTAAAACATAATAAAATACACTGATGACTGCGACACCGCAGGATCCACATGTCAGTGTCTGATTTATTTGCAAAACGAAGTGGAATAATATAATGCCTCCCGCGGGGGTCAAACTAGGGACCATGGCTTGATTATGCATCCAGCTAGCCATTTCAGTTGTGTGCATTTGTTTGCTTATGGGCAGAGTGGGGCTAGTTGACTTGACATTTCTACGTTATGGAAGGGCCCACGAATTAGTGACACTGGAAAGAGAGAACTCGGTGGTGTAGATCACAACATACTAAAAGATTCAGAGATACAGATTAACTTAACAAACACGTTCATAGATTAAGAGAGCGAACTAATGTAGTGACATTACACTAACTAATACTATATTTTAAGGGGAGGGGCGGCATAGGATGGCCGGCCGACGCCGACATCGACAACAGATGGATGACTACTTGCCTTTATCATCTGAAAGGACAATGGTGCCGTCTTCGTCGTTGTGGTCTTCGTCATCGGAGGAGGATAGGATGACGACGTATGGTCCCTTGCCTTCCGCCTCAACGGCAGCCGCTTCACGCAGAGTAGCCGCCCTTCTTGTTGGAATAAGCCACGACGTGTGTGGTCGGGCTCGTCGGGCGCGTCGGATGCGTGCGGGACGGGCGGGACACACTGGTGCCGTCGGGTTCGTCGGGTTCGTCGGGCGCGTCGGTGGCGCGCGGGACGGACGGGACGTGCGGGACGCAGCAACGTGGCGTATGTGTGTAGCGTGTGTACTCAGTCTGGCACGTAGAGCAGGCCGTTGGCGACTGTGCTGGCCAAGTGTGTGTACTCAGTCTGGCACGTAGAGCAGGCCGTTGGCGACTGTGCCGGCCAAGTTTGCTACTCCTACATGCATGGCTGAGTTAGTTAGCTAGGTGAGCTCTTCTAGGAGTGGATGAGTTCGTGCGGTTAGTGGCCGGTTGTGAGGCCGGGTCCTGCGTAGGTGCATAGATTAGTGGCCGGTGTGGCCGATGAGCTGTGCGCGTGCATCTACTACTTAAGTGATGTGCTTGTGCCTGTAGCCGTGAGGCAGTTGGAGCTCTGAATAGTAACGGGGCTGTGAAGCCGGGTGAAACTTCAGTGTACTGCGTGCTTCTCCTTCTTCTACCTCCATCCATCCGTGTGAGAGAGCGGTTCCAATAATTGGTATACAGAGCCAGATTCGAGGGGCGGCCGTGGCGCGTGGCGGTGCGCGGCGGACATGAAGGTCTTGGCAATGGCGCGCGACGAGCGCGTGGCGTCGGCATCGCGCGGCGAGTCCACGGCAGTGTGGCGTGATGCCGGGCGCGCGGCGAGCGCGTGGCGTCGGCAACGCACGGCGAGTCCACGACGGTGTGGCGTGATGCCGTGCGCGCGACGAGCAGCGGCGGTCGTGGAGTCGAGGAGGTCGCGGAGGACCTGCGTGGTGTCGCAGAGGCCGCGGCGGCTCGGCGCGACGATCGTGGAGGCGCTGCGCTGCGGTTGACGGCACAGCGGTGCAGGGCAATAAGCGCGGCGGCGAGCCGGGCGCGACCGGTGCGTGTTATGGGTGCGCACCGGACGCGTCGGGCGCGTCGGGACCGCGGGAGTGGACCGCGTCGAGGCGCTGGACCTGGTTGCGCAGATCGCGTATGTGCGCGGCGGGAGCGCGGGCCGGGAGCGCGGGGATGTGGGGACTACGCGCGAAGGGCACGGCGACACGGTGGCAGGCTTGGCAGCGACATCAGGGCGGCAGCTGCTACAACGTCGACGACGACGGACTCCTCTAGGTCGTGGCTTAGGGGGTGTGTGTTGGAATAAACCACGACGTGTCTGGCCGGGCTCGTCGGGCGCGTCGGATGCGCGTGGGACGGGCGGGACACACTGGTGTCGTCGGGCTCGTCGGGTTCGTCGGACACGTCGGTGGCGCGCGGGACGGACGGGACGTGCGGGACGCAGCAACATGGCGTATGTGTGTAGCGTGTGTACTCAGTCTGGCATATAGAGCAGGCCGTTGGCGACTGTGCTGGCCAAGTTTGCTACTCCTACATGCATGGCTAAGTTAGTTAGCTAGGTGAGCTCTTCTAGGAGTGGATGAGTACGTGCGGTTAGTGGCCGGTTGTGAGGCCGGGTCCTGCGTAGGTGCATAGATTAGTGGCCGGTGTGGCCGATGAGCTGTGCGCGTGCATCTACTACTTAAGTGTTGTGCTTGTGCCTGTAGCTGTGAGGCAGTTGGAGCTCTGAATAGTAACGGGGCTATGAAGCCGGGTGAAACTCCAGTGTACTGCGTGCTCCTTCTTCTATCTCCATCCTTCCGTGTGAGAGAGTGGTTCCAACACTCCTCCCCGGCGCCTGACAGCCTCTGCCTGCACCGTGGACAGAGATGCGGCTAGCACCGCTTGGTCAAGCTGCTGTTACACTATGCGCAGGGCCTCCTCGGCATGGCCAGTGAGCACGGCAGCATCGGGCGCAGGAGGCGGTGCGTCTTCCTCGGCCGCATCTTCCACACCGTAGATGTCGAGGTGCTCCTGCATCGCCTCGAAGGCCACCTCCTCCTCGGCGTCCTCCTCATCGAGCTCTCTGCGGTTATGAGATAGCTCAGACATCGTGGGCTCTAGCTCGGAGTAGTTTGAATAGGTGTTGGAGCCCAACAAGGATGCGCCAGAGTTGGAGCCAACAGCCGCTTCAGTGTTGGAGCCGCCGCCGGTGCCAGGCACCGGCGCCCAGGGGCAGAGACCTCCCGTGGAGATCCTTGCGGCCTGTAGCTGCCTCACCATGGTGGCTGAACTAGATTTGGATTGCGCGGCGTGTGGAGGCAATGGAGTGAAACGTCAGTGGAATGATGCCGCACGCCAGTATTTAATTAGAGGAGTGCGGGGAGTGGACCGTCGATGCAGGGAGTTCAACGGAGCACTGCCTCCGTCTTTTCACATTGAATCGAGGCGTGTTGATTGGTAAACCTGCATTCTGAGGGTGCACTAATTGCCCTGATGTGACGAAGCTGCATGGCAGCGCGCATGCAGGGCAGGCTACTTCGGGTGGCTTTGCGCATGCATGGCAGGCTGAGACTAGGCCTCTATGACGACCCATCAGCCTAGCACGTGGCCCGCGGCCGCTGTCGCGTGTGTGACGCCCCCGATTCAATAGTGCACTAATTATACACACAAATACGCATGATCAAGATCAGAGACTCACGGGAAGATATCACAACACAACTTTAAACACAAATTTAAGTCATACAAGCCTTATATTACAAGCCAGGAGCCTCGAGGGCTCGAATACATAAGCTCGAATACAAACGAGTCAGCGAAAGCAACAACATCTGAGTACAGACATAAGTAAACAAGTTTGCCTTAAGAAGGCTGGCACAAACATCAACGTAGATCGAAAAGCCAAGGCCTCCTGCCTGGGTGCCTCCTAACGACTCCTGGTCGTCGGCGGTCTCCACGTAGTACTAGGCATCATCGGGGTAGTAGTAGTCGTCAGCAGTGGCATCTGGCTCTTGGGATCCGCCAACTGATCGTAGCAATCGGGTATTGGGGGAAAGAAGTAGCAAAGCAACCATGAGTACTCATCCAAAGTACTCGCAAGACTTACATCAGATCTACACTACATATGCATTGGTATCAAACTATCAGTACAAGGGGTAGTTTCTGTGGACTAAACTGCAGAATGCCAGAATAAGGGGGGGAGTTAGTCCTATCAAAGACTACGTCTTCTGGCAGCCACCATCTTGAAGCAGTAGAAGAGAGTAGCTAGTATGTAACAAGTATCATCATATAGCAATAATCCTACCCGGATGATCCTCTCCTCGTCTCCGTGTGAGAGAGCAATCACCGGGTTGTATCTGTCACTTATCTGGGTGTGTTTTATCAAGTATCCGGTTTTAGTTGT